ATTACAGCCAACTGGCAACTCTAAATTCGTTGTTGACACTGTGTATATGTTGAAAAATTAAAGCACCCGGTTTATGCTACATTATTTTATTATCACAGGTGACAGGTCGCCTTCGGGCACGGGATACTACGGACTCAAGACACACTAAGTTAGCCCTCAGTAGATCTAGCGAAACCAAACAACCAAACAAGATTCGAGTCAGTTCAGTAGGCCTACAGTTCAAGTTCAAGTACACAGTTTTGTCTCGTGTTCGTGGGCTGTACATAGGCCTACACTTTTACTTTTGTTGTATCATTCTTCAGGCTCAGGTAAAATTGAAATCTAGATCTAGATCTAGATGACTAGATCTAGTACAACGATAAATTTAACAAAAACTGGATGATCTATCGATCATGAGACAAATCGTTGGGTAAAATTTTACAAAATTTGGACGATGGCTTGGAGACTCAGTCGAGAAATCAAGTGCTGCTTTTATATCTTCCGTGCAATCGAGGTCAGATTTGGGGGAGACGTGCTTTAAAATGTGCTGCCGCAGAAGATTAAATAAGATTAAACTTAAGGTTCAAAATTAAAAAATAATTATCACTGGTAAAAACTGATTTCATATAGATCTATATATTCGTAATCAGCGTCTCAAAATAAACAGAGTAGCGCTCTGGGAACCTGATTTGATTCGTTATTATGTTATATTTTAGTCATTTTAATTATTTAGTTGATCGTCAATTTTGAAGTTGTGTATCTAGAATCTAGGTCATCCGGTGCGTTGCACATCTGTAGTAAAGTCAATGACTAGGATTCTCCCCGATCGAAAGAAAACTGGACGATAGATTGGAATGTCTAAACAGACTACACAGCTCGATAAAACAGACAGTTCTCGCCTTTGATGAATCTGACACAATTTGTGGTTGCGTGTAACCGGGGCTTCAGTTTAGAACATTTCTCCTGTCCTTTTGACTTTGACCCTCACATGTTCTGTCGTCTCCTCAAAAGCAACAGCCTGATCTGAA